CACTGGACTCTGGGGTGGTTCCCGCAGATTGGAAAACAGCCAATGTGACGCCACTGTTTAAAAAAGGAAGTAGACAAAAAGCAGCTAACTATAGGCCAGTTCGCTTAACTTCAGTAGTGGGGAAAAATGCTTGAATCTATCATTAAGGAAGAAATAGCAAGACATCTGGATATAAATTGTCCCATTGGGAACACCCAGCATGGGTTCATGAAGAGTAGGTCATGTTTAACTAATTTGGTGGAATTCTATGAGGACATTACTTGCATAGTGGACAATGGGGAACCTGTGGACATGGTGTATCTGGATTTCCAGAAGGCATTTGACAAGGTGCCACACCAAAAGCTGCTACATAAGATAAAGTTGCACGGTATTACAGGTAATGTATTGGCATGGATAGAGGATTGGTTGACCAGTAGAAAGCAAAGAGTAGGGGTAAATGGGTGTTCTTCTGCTTCGCGGTCAGTGGGTAGTTGTGTGCCTCAGGGATCAGTGTTGGGACTGCAATTGTTTACAATTTACACAGATGATTTGGAGTTGGGGACTAAGTGTGGTGCGTCAAAATTTGCAGATGACACTAAGGTGAGTGGTAGACCAAAGTGTGCAGAAGACACTGAAAGTCTGCAGAGGGATATAGATAGTCTAAGTGAGTGGGCAAACGTCTGGCAGATGGAGTACAATGTTGATAAGTGTGAGGTCATCCATTTTGGTAGGAATAAAAGCAAAATGGACTATGTTTTAAATGGTAAAAAAATTGCAGCACGCTGCTGTGCAGAGGGACTTGGGTGTCCTTGTGCATGAATAGCTAAAAGTAGGATTGCGGGTGCAGCAGGTGATTAAAAAGGTAAATGGAATTTTGTCTGCCATTGCTAGAGGGATGGAGTTTAAAAACAGGGAGGCTATGCTGCAGCTGTACAGAGTCCTGGTGAGGCCACACCTGGAGTACTGTGTGCAGTTTTGGTCTCCTTACTTGAGAAGAGATATACTAGCACTGGAGGGGGTGCAGAGGAGATTCACTCGGTTGATTCCAGAATTGAAAGGGTTGGATTATGAGGAGAGACTGAGTAGACTGGGATTATACTCATTGGAATTCAGAAGAATGAGGGGAGATCTTACAGAAACATATAAGATTATGAAGGGAATAGATAAAGTGGAGGCAGGGAGGTTGTTTCCACTAGCAGGTGAAACTAGGACTAGAGGGCATCGCCTCAAAATAAAGGGAAGCAGATGTAGGACTGACATCAGGAGGAATTTCTTCACCCAAAGGGTTGTGAATCTGTGGAATTCCCTGCCCAGTGAAGCGGTTGAAGCTACCTCGCTGAATGTTTTTAAGGCAAGGCTAGATTAATTTTTGAACAGTAAAGAAATTAAGGGTTATGGTGTGCGGGTGGGTAAGTGGAGCTGAGTCTCAAAAAGATCAGCCATAATCTTATTAAATGGCGGGGCAGGCTTGAGGGACCAGATGGCCTACTCCTGCTCCTAGTTCTTATGTTCTTATGTTTTAATCTCAAATATTGGCTTTGGTGTCCAATGTTGTTTTGATCTCTGCATTGATTACAATTGTCTTCTACTCTTTTATGTGTGAATTTGGCTATTAGAAAATGTGCTTTAGATTATAGATTCATAGAGTCATACAGCACAGAAACAGACCCTTCGGTCCAATTCATTGAAGCCAACCAAACTATTTCCCTGCATTTGGCCCATATCCCACTCCACCTTTTCTATTCATGTGTCTGTCCAAATGTCTTTTAAATGTTGTGACTGTACCTGCATCTACCACTTCTTCTGGCAGTTCATTCTACATATGAACCTTCCTGTGTGAGAAAAAGTTGCCCCTCAGATCCCTTTCAAATCTTTCTCCTCTCACCTTAAAAATATGCCCTCTAGTTTTGAACTCCTCTATCCAAGAGGAAAAACATCTTTACTACTCGCCAAGACAGATTTGTTGGGAATCAAAACAATGTCTGTAGTTTTCTCAACATTTAATTGGGGAAAATTTAAGGTCATCTCGGACTGAATGTTGACCATGCAATGTGATAGTGGACAGGCCAACAGAGATGGGGTTCATCAATATACATCTTGAACTTGACTTTGTCACTGAATGTATACAAGAAATGAAAGATGTTTCAGGCAAATGTTAAGCCATAGCCCATTAAGAACCAGTGGCATCTCTCCCTAGTGGAGAGAGACAGACATATATTTATGTAGTTTAAGGAGCATCGTTCCACATCAACTGTGGGACAAGGTATGGAAGAAGATCGTCCATGAACTGGGACAGAGAATGAAACTGCCTAATCAGCATTATTCTACACCACGCTATCCCTCAGGCCTATCAACTATAGATTAGACAGCCTGTAAGCGGGCTGTCTGGGGGATTTTAGGTTCAAAAATATTTGTGACCACTCTTTCTTATAAGATGGTACTCGTGGAACTAACTAAGCTGAACAAAGTGACCTTATGGCTAATTAAAAAGTGAGCTCCCAGTCCTAATCTGAGCTCTGTTGAAGCTATATTTTCTTTATTCAGATGCCCATAGGTGTTTTATTTTGATATTCATGATACTTCAAGCATCTTTTCTAACAGCATGCAGGAAAGCAGTTAAAACATTTAATTTTTTTCAAATCTACTAAAATAACATGGGAATTGGCTAAATTAAGCAGTAACTAATACAAAGTACTGTAACATCCTTCCAAATTATCCAATATAATTGTGAATCAACCATAAAAATCTATGGCATTCAGCTTTGTTTACAAATAACAACCCTCTAATTTCCAAGGCTTCAGTTCAGTCAGATTGTGGAGATGGAGGCATCATGCAATGTTAACAGTTTGGCAGTCTGTCTCAAACAGGATATCCAGTGACACTTGTTCCCTTCCCAGCAGATTCCCTTGCTTCATCTCGACATTAATAATTTAGAATGGTAGTTAAATAGAAAACTTGACAGCTAGTTCTTTCCCTTTCTCCTTCAAATGCCCATTATTTGTTTGGGGAAGAAATACAATTAATATCAAAAATGTTCAAGGAACATCAGATTCTGTATTAATGACTATTAATCTTACAGATAAATGTGAAACCAACAGAACAGAAATGTTACTGATAGCTATCTCGAAAGGCACAGAAGAAGCAACTATTATATTTTGGTGAGAGATAGTAGAACGGCCGATGCTGGAGTCTGAGATAACACAGTGTGGAGCTGGAGGAACATAGCAGGCCAGGCAGCATCAGAGGAGCGGGAAAGCTGACATTTCGGGTCGGGTCCCTTCTTCAGAAGACCCTTCCTGGCCTGCTGTGTTCCTCCAGCTCCACACTGTGTTATTACATTTTGGTTTCTTGCCTGATTTTGTTGAAAAGGTAAAATAAATATTGTTACTCATGACTGTGATATATGTAAGCAAAGAAAAATTCATTAAGCCAGAAGATGTCCAAAAATTAACAGCAGCAGAACGAGCCTTTGGTAGACATGCTAGACCCATCTAGGGTCTAAAAACTGCAAAACAGAGAAGTCTGAAAGAAGCATGAACGGGCTCATGGATTAAATTATTGCAACTATACCAAGACAGGAACAAGTTCAATTAATAGGAATGAGGTGTGCAAAGTGTTAAAATTCAGGCAAATCAGTTACTTCACTCATTTCCCTTTCCAAAGTACATCTGCTGCTAAGACAAGCTTTCAGGGACAGAGCTGTTTACTTATGGAAAAATATCCCCCAAATTTCATAATGAATCCTTTAGCTTTTGGAATTTGCTATCTCATTATATTCCAAGTGTTGCTACAAGACTAGCATTTGTTAATTGCTCTTGAAAATTAGAGAATCCCTACAATGTGGAAGCAGGCCATTTGGCCCATTGAATCCACACTGACCTTCCAAAGAGCATCCAATCCAGACCCACCACCTGCCTTATCCTGCATTTCCCATGGTCGATCCACCAGGCCTGCACATCCCTGGACACCGTGGGCAGTTTGGCATGGCTGGTCAACTTGGCCTGCGCATCTGTGGACTGTGGGAAGAAACCAGGGCGCCTGGAGGAGACCCACACACAGCCAGGGAGATCATGCAAACACAACACAGTCACCCGAGGATGGAATCAAACCCGGGTCCCTGGTGCTTGTGCTAACCACTGAGCCACCGTTCCACCATCTTCAATTGCTGCAGCCAATGTGATGTAAATACACCCACAATGCTGTTTGGGAGTTCCAGGATTCTGACGATGCAACAGTGAAGGAACGGTGACACAATTCCAAGTCAAGGTGGTGCTATAACTAACTGAAATGGCATCAATGTTAAAGAATTAATTGGTTAAAATTGTCAGATTATACGGTCACAAATAACCTGAAGGCGAAGGTAGCCCAGGTTCAAGATCGTTTGCATAGCTGTCAGGAAGTGGAATGAGTTGTTCCTTTCTGGAAGGAAGAGAAATTTAAGGGATGTTCCATAAGTGAATAGTGCTGCGTGAAGCTTCTGACTATCTTATTTTGTCTTCACAAAAATAGTTGGCATCTGCCTCTTGCACCTGACTTACTCAAAGAGGCAACAAATTTCAGCAACACATCTCTGATGCCTAGCAAATGAGCAAGAAACATCTTTTATTAAAAAATGTAAAAAAATCACTTATTGACCAACAACCACTGCTTATTTTGAAGTATAAGATCATGAGGGGCATGGATAGGATGAATAGCCAAGGTGTTTTTTCAAGGATGGGGGAGTCCAAAACTAGATGGCATAGGTTTAAGGTGAGACTGGATAGATTTTAAAGGGAGCTGAGGGGCAGGCATTTCACGTAGAAGGTGGTGTGTATTGAATGAGCTGGCTGAGGAAGTGGTGGAGGCTGGTACATTACAACATTTAAATGGCATCTAGATGGATATATGAACAAGGAGAGTTTAGAGGGATATGGGCCAAATACTGGCAAATGGGATTAGATTAATTTAGGATATCTGGTTGGACTGAAGGGTCTGTTTACATGCTGTACATCTCTGTAACTCTATAAACCAGTTCCACTTACTTTTTCAGCTTGTCAAGGAAAGCTTTACTCCATGTCTCCTGAGCAATGCTTTGAGCAATTGCACTGGCGTGAATATCAGTGTCAAAGTCAAACACAGAGGAAAAGGCCGTCCAGCTGAGGAGAGAAGGAAACAAAGAAAGAACAATTTGGTCACCTATGCTGGAATGATAGGAATGTTTGCTTTCACAGATTTATGGACCTCTACAAGTAATTAGATAGATAACTAGACAGTTTGTTTCAGCTGTAACAAGTTTACTGGTAAACGAGAAGTTATGCATTCAAACTACATTCCAGGACTTGAGGACACAGTCAAAACTAACACTACAGACTGGTACTGAGTGACAGATGTGCTTTTGGTTGATCAGTCATTTAGATAATGATTTAAGCACAAACTCATTTGACAGTTCCAGTGGTTTGTAGACACTAAAAAGCAGAAGGATCTCTTTATTCTGACTGACATACTGCCCTCAGCTAACAGCCAAAAAAAATTCCTCTCAGGGGTCTCATGGGGTCTATATGCAAAATAACTGTTACTTCTAAAAGATACAGGAAGTGTTTAACAGAACTTAACAGGCAGAGGAAATTAAACATGACATGGTTTTTGTTAAGATGGCTTAATTCAATTCAGAGGATTTTACAAGACACAGAAACATACGATATTTCTGTTTAATAGCACAGAGATTTATTTGATTTAGTTGCTAGCTGTGCTCACAAAAGGTTACCATTTGCCACCAGGTGCAGTCACAACTGCACCCTTAGAATAAGTCAACTCCACATATCTTCTTGCTGGCATTACAACTCAATTCTGTGAGGCACTACAAAATGCAATGAGTCCAACTCCCTCAATGTTCAGTTTTAAATGTAGCTATGTACGCTGAACAAACAACTCAATTTCCAGTGTTTCAGCAGCAGTCATGTTGACTTAGTTCTACATCAATCTGCTACGTTTATCTGCTTTCAAGCTTCATCAACAAACCAAAGAGTGACTCAGGGTTGATAAGGGTTACCTGCTGAAGAGATGGCTCACCCCCTATATATCTGAGCAGCACAGTCACGAGGAAGGTGATATTGCTACAGGAAATGTGCTCTGACGCATCTTGGCATGTTGATGATATTTCTGCTACTTCAGTTATTCCACAGGAGCCATGCAGGGTTTGGCAGAGCTGTATCAAAGTTCTTGTTGATCTGTCACTGGTTGCACAAATTCACTATGCAAAGGGCGTAGCCCTTGCCACCAGCTACATGGTGAGCAATTGAGAAGGTGAAGGGGGAGACTTGCGAGTGCTACTCGGCTAGCTTTAAACTAGTAAAGTGGGGCTGGACCCAAAGAGATAGTGAGAAAATAGGTAAGTCTGAGGATGGTACAGTTGAGGAGAGGAGCAAGTCGAATAGTCAAGGCAGGCAAGAGCAATGCAGAGAACAAGGTGAGACTTATAAATTAAACTGTATTTATTTCAATGCGACAGGCCTGACAGATAAGGCAGGCGAGCTCAGGGCGTGGTTGGGAACATGGAACTCGGATATCATAGCTATTACAGAAATGTGATTCAGGGACGGGCTGGCAGCTTAATGTTCCAGGAAACTAATAGGACGGATAGAAAGCGTGGTGCGGGGGGAAAACAAGATAGAAGGGGGAGTGGTGTTTTAGATTAGGGATAACATTACGGCTGTACTTAGGGAGGATATTCCTGGGAGTACATCCAGTGAAGTTATCTGGACGGAATTGAGAAATATGAAAGGGATGATCATCTAATTGGGCTTGTACTAATTGGCCCCCACCCCCAAATGTCAGTGAGAAATTGAGAAGCAAATTTGTACGCAGATCTCAGTTATCTGTACAAATGATAGGGTCGTAATGGTACAGGATTTTAACTTACAAACATAGACTGGGACTGCCATAGTGTTAAGTGCTTAGATGGAGAGGAATTTGTTAAGAGAGGACAAGACAATTTTCTTATTTAGTATGTGGTTGTATCTACCAGAGAAGAAAATAAGGCAGGACAAGTGATTGAGGTGTCAGTGGGGGAGCACTTTTGGGCCAGTGATCATAATTCTACTAGTTTTAAAATAGTTATGGAAAAGTATTGACTTGATCTAAAAGTTAAAGTTCTAAATTGGAGTAAGGCCAATTTTGATGGTATTAGGCAACAACTTTCAAAAGTTGATTGGGAGAGGTTATTTGCAGGCAAAGGGACAGTTAGAAAGTGGGAGGCCTTCAAAAATGAGATAATGAGAGTCCAAAGACAGTACGTTCCTGTTAGTGTAAAAGGCAAAGCTGGTAGGTGTAGTAAATGCTGGATGACGAGAGAAATTGAGGTTCTGGTCAAGAAAAAGAAGGAGGCAAAAGCAGGTATAGACAGCAGGGATTGAGTGAATCCCTCCAGGAGTATAAGGGCAGTAGGAGCATACTCAAGAGGGAAATCAGGAAGGGAAAAAGGGCACATGAGATAGCTTTGGGAAATATGGTTAAAGTGAATCCAAAGAGATTCTACAAGTACATTAATGGTAAAAGAGTAAATAGGGAGAGAATATGGCTCCTTAAAGATCAACAAGGCAGTCTATGTGTGGAACCACAGGAAATGGGTGAGATATTAAGCGTCATTTGTTGCACAGTATCTGGAACCACAAAGCTAGGCTCTTGGCCAGAACATGCTCAATGGAGGCAAGCCCCAGTGTAGGCACTGTATGCTTCCAAAGAGTCACGGTGGGCCACCTCTCCAACCAGAGGGCTGGCAGTTCTGATGAAGCTGGACAATGCTCAGGCTACATAGCATCAAAAGGAGCTTTCTGTTTTGCAGGGCCCTCACTGTAAAGGAAGGCAATTCATTTTTATGACAAGTCAACCAAGCAATCCCCAACTTTTTTTTTTGACAGCGATCCCCTCCAGCAGTAACAGCAAATGACAGAGGGTGGTCACTTCCATCAGTGGCTTCCTCTTTGGAGCCTCCCATTTCAATGTGCTGTGTACAGGTTGAGGCTATGTCCGTGCTGAATGGCTGCCAACTTGGTAAGAAGCCACTCTGCCACTGACAAAATGCTGGTAGCTCATGAAAGTGGTCCTAAATAGGGTTTTTAATTGGCATAATTGGCCTGTGCTTCAAGTCACGATGTGGTTGAGCTATTATCCTAACATTGGTGCTCCCAGCATCTTATCAATACCCCCAATCCTACTTCCCTGCCCGCCACTTCGAGACTGGTAAAATCTCACCCCGAGTATTAACTGCACATCTTCTGGGCCTATTGCCTTCTGTGTATGTCTCTGGTGGGTTTCCAGTTGTTATTTCCTCCTTTCCACCTCCTCAACCATGACCTCATGAACCTCCATCATTGCAATATATATATTAGAGCACACTTTTGACGAACTCCCCACCCCGACCAAGTTGTGCCATTATTCGGTGTTTTTCTATATCGGAGTGAGTTGTACAAAGATCTCTGCAACTGCTCCAACCAGAATGCATCTCCACTTTAAAAGCTGCAGGCTGGGTTTAAGTTGTGTTTATTCCTTCATGGGATGTGGGCGTCACTAGCGAGGCCAGCATTTGCTGCTCATACCTAGCTGCTCTTCAACTGAGTGGCTTGCTTGGCTATTTTAAAGGGGAATTAAGAGCGAACTACATTGCTGTGGGTTTGGAGTCATACGTCAGCCAGGCCAGTAAAGATGGCAGATTTCCTTTCGCACAGAGCATGAGAGAATCCCATCTTTCACTTGTGTTAGCCTCTTACAATTTTTATAGCCCTCCGGAATATGTAACTTCTCAACAATCTGGCCATGCTGGCTGCATGTAATAATCATTCTAATGGGCAGGCTGTATGAAGTTGGCGTATTTCCTTCTATTTGTCCATCACAAACCTTGTTTATGAGAGCGAGGCAATTTAGACTCTTTTATATTTTCTTTTGTCTTATGCAATCAATCAATAATATCAAATAGTTTAAAAAGTTACGGAATAAATAGCCGCCAATTTTTACAAACCCACCCAAACCACACAGTGGGGAATCTGCAAAAATGGAATGTTCTTGAATACTTACAATCATTGAATACTTACAGTATGGAAGCAGGCCATTTGGCCCATCGAGTCCACACCTAGCCTCTAAAGAACATCCCACCCACACCCACCCACTACCCTACTCCTGTAACCCTCCATTTTCCATGGCTAACCTACCCAGCCTGCACATCCCTGAATACTCTGGGGCATGATGGGTGAAATAGTCTCCTTCAACACAATAATAATGTTGTGATTCTTTGATAAGGCCTTAGTTTGTCTTATGCAATCAATTCCCCATTCAAATAAGGAGAAACTCAATTTGTGCCATCCTTTTCCTTGGCTAGTTGAATGAGTTTTAATTTCCATTAACTTAGAAAGGAATAAACATTCTAATTTCCAAAAACATTCCATTTTTGCAGATTCCCCACTGTGTGGTTTGGGTGGGTTTGTAAAAATTGGTAACTATTTATTCCGTAACCTTTTAAACTATTGGATATTATTTTCATAAAGTAATACACAGCATGATGTTCTGTGGTTAGGCTTCATTGTTTCCTTTCTCTGCAAGTATATTTCACAGAAATCTCCAAAGCCAGTGCAGCATTCTTTGTCTCTTGCCATTTCTTTTCTGCCAGTTTCTGTATCCTCCTCTCATTTTAAAAAAAGGGTATAAGAAGGATTCAACATAGAATTCACAGTCACATGTTGCAGCCAGCATTGGTTTATTGAGGAAAAATTATCTTTAATAACGTGTCAGAGTTTTGATTTAAAAAGTAACACTGAGGATTGTGTTGTACTTGGTCTTCTAAGTGGCCTTTTACGAGTGCCACAACGTTTGAGAAAATTTAGAGTTTATGGAATAAAACAGACAGTACATAAAAGAGACAATAACAGGTATGTAATAATGGCTGAGAGAAAGGAAACAGACAGTAATGGTTAAGGGATATTTTTGGAGCTGGAGGGTCAGTATTGGGAGATTTGTTTTCCCTGATACAAAGAGGGCAATTTCAAAGTTCATAGATGGTACAAAACTTGGATATTTGTGAGGAGGACGGTGTAGAATTTCAAAAGGCCATTGACAAGTTACTGGAATAGACAAATTGGTGACAGATGAAATTCAATGTGGAAAAATGTGAGGTGACATACTTTGTCAGGAAAAACATGGAGTGGCAGTATAAAATAAACAGGACTGTTTAAAGTATTTGCAGAAACAAGAAGATAAGAGTGTGTGTGCTATAGATCACTGGCAGTGCCAGGGCAGGTACTGAGAACAGCTTGTGAAGCATACAGTATCCTAGGCTTTATTAATTAGGGCAAAGAATACAAGTGGAAAGAGGTTATGTGGAACTTGTAGAAGAAACTAGTCAGGCCTCACCAAGAGTATTGTGTAGAATTCTGGGTGCCACACTGCGGAAAGGATGCAAATAAATTGGAGGTTTACCAAAATGGTTTCAGGGATGAGTAGGTTCAGTTATGAAGACTGACTGGTGAAGTTGGAACTGTTTTTCCTAAACAGGAGAAGACTAAGAGGAAATTTGATAGAAGTTTACAAAATCATGGAGAGTCTGAATAGAGTAGATGGAAAGAAATTGTTTGCACTTGTAAAAGGACCAAGAATAAGAAGGCACAGATTTGAAGTAATTTGCAAAATAATCAAACGTGATGTGAGAAAACACTGCAAGTCTGGAATGCACTGCCTGGAAGTGTGTTGGAGAGAGATTCAATCAAGGGATTCAAGAAGGCATTAGGTAATTATTTGAACAAAAACAACATGCAGGGTTACCAGGAAAATGGTACTAATTCCTAATTCTCATCAGAGGGACAGTGCAAACATAGAATCATTGAATACTTACAGTGTGGAAGCAGGCCATTTGGCCCATCGAGTCCACACCGAGCCTCTAAAGAACATCCCACCCACACCCACCCACTACACTACTCCTGTAACCCTCCATTTTCCATGGCTAACCTACCCAGCCTGCACATCCCTGAATACTCTGGGGCAGGATGGGCGAAATAGTCTCCTTCAACACAATAATAATGTTGTGATTCTTTGATAAGGCCTGCAACTACAAACAAGTCATTTTAACCTCAGTGGTGGGGAAAATTTTAGGAATGGCCTATCTGTGACTAAATTAACTGCCCAATAGTTAATTAAGGAAAGCCAGTGTGAATTGCTTTTGGTTGTGTTTCACCAACTTGATTGAGATTTTTCTTAAGGTGACTGAGAGCGCTGATGAGGATTACACAGTGGTTGTAATGATACATGTCCAAATTATGTCTTACAAAGTGCCACTTACAAAATTAAAGTCCATGCAATAAAAGGGAGAGCAGCAAGAGGATATAAAGCTGGCTGATTGACAGGAAACAGGGAGTAGGATGGTTAACTTTGCACTGGAGCACAATATATAGTTGGGTTCCTCAGGGTTCTGTACTGCTTTTCTTGATATATATTAATGACCTAGATGTGGATGTACAGGGCTCAATTTCAAAATTTGCAGGTGATACAGAATTTGGGAAGTGTTGTGATCAGAGATAAACATCAAGGTGACATGGACAGGCTGACAGAATGGAAAGATACGGCGGCACAGTGGCACTGCTGCCTCACAGCACCAGAGACCTGGGTTCGATTCCACCCTTGGGTGACTGTCTGTGTGGAGTTTGCACATTCTTCCCGTGTCTGCGTGGATTTCGTCCTGGTGCTCCGGTTTCCTCCCACAGTCCAAAGAAGGGTAGGCTAGGTGGATTGGCCATGCTAAATTGCTCAGGATGTGTAGATTAGGCGGGTTATAGGTGGATGGATCTGGGTGGGGTGATCTGAGGGTTGGTGTGGACTTGTTGGGCAGTACAAGGCTAAGAGGGTGCAGAAGCAGTTGGAACCTATGGGTAAATGTGTACAACCAATAATGGTGATGATGCAGGTTGAGAAATTGATTACACTCACTCCTCATTGTCTGCTGACCTGCCATGGATCCACACACTTGCAAAGTTAGCCCTAGACCCAATTTTTTTGGGATTCTGCATTTATAAATAGAAACAAAGAATACAAAAGCAAGCAGTTTATGGCAATAAAAGCAAAATATTGTGTATGCCAGAGATATGAAATAAAACCAAAGTGCTGGAAAAACTCAGCAAGTCTTGCAGCATTGGCAGACAGAAACAGAGCTAATGTTTCGAGTCCAGTATGGCTCTCCATTAAAATTCTGGACTTTACAATGAATCTTTATGAAATAACAAGTCAACCTCAATTGGTATACTTTGTCTGATTTTGGGCATGACAATGAGGATACAGCAAACATTTATGAGAACATTGTCAGGAATGAAGAACTTCAGTTCAGTGGATGATTTGAAGAAACAGGGGTTGTCTTTCTTAGAGAGAAGGTAGAGAGGAGATTTGCTAGATGTGCTCAAAATCATGCGAGTTATGGAGACGGAGACGGAGAAACTGTTCCCACTGTATAAGGCTGGAGAACGGACAATGCTGATCTACAGTGAATTGCAAAGGAGCTGAATGTTACATGACGAAAAACCTTTTTATGTATCATTAAGATCTGGAGTACACTGTCTGAGTGTGTGTTGTTAGCAAATTTAATTGTGGCATTTAAAATGTATGTGATTATTATCTGAATAGCAGAGTTTTGCAGGGCTATGGGGGAATGGAAAGAGATAAGGACTGGAGCAGCTACTCTTGCAGAGAGAAAGTGTTGATAAGACAGACGAAAATGGTCTCCTTCTGGCTGTAAATATTTTATGCCTCTGTTCTAAAATTCTATGAAAAGGCGTTGATTTATTTCCATGGGTTTGTTTGATGGCCATTAATCTGATTCCAAAAGATGGACTCCCTACAGTATTAATTACTCAATTTAATGTTGGCTGTTCTTGTGCAGGGTTTTGGCATGCAGCAGCTGTATTTTTCCATTTATTTATTTCCATTTATTAGTAATTAGAAACAATTTGCTTGCTTTTCCCTCTCTCACCCACCAGTTCTGTAGCAATTGCACCTCTGGATTAGTTAATGCACACCAAGAGTCAAATCTGAAAACTTCTGAACGAGGATTTTTCAACTACCTGCTGCATAAATTCAAAGAGATTACAGGAGACACTGCAAACATTTCATTGGACTCAAGACCTGTACTGCACACCTCTAAGTCATTTTATAAATGTCAAATGTCTTTCAAACCAACCTGTCTGTTAAATTCCACAACTTACATAAAAGTAAACTTGACATACAGAAGTTCCCCTTCATCTTCAGTCCATTTATTTTTGTATGGTCCCCTTCTAAACAACAGAAATATAAAATGAGGCAAGTAAAATTTAAACAGTGCTTGTGTTTTATAACAAACATAAACAGAAATTGCTACAGAAACTCAGCAGGTCAAGCAATAACTATGGAGAGGAAACCAAGTTAGTTTTTCAAGTCCAGTGACCCTTCTTCAGAAATTGTTACTTTTTTTTATTTCAAAAATATACTTTATTCATAGAAGGAAATCTTTATGTTAATGAAGCCATTCAGATCTATACTGTCTTTACTTACAGAGGAAAAAACAAACAATAGGGTTCAGCTTTCTCCATATTTACAATTACAATCTCCACATTTAGCTGAGGCATCAGGGAGGGTCCGTTTACTGAATAGACCCTCATTATGCTTTGGCAGTAGAACCTTATACAGTGGTCTTTCTCCATTGTGCCTTTACAGCAGCTGCCACAAGATTTAATGCGTCCCTTAGCATGTAGTCGTGGACCTTGGAATGTGCCAGTCTGCAACACTTAGTCAGGGTCAACTCTTTCAACTGCAGGACCAGCGAGTTTCAGGCAGATTAAAGAGTGTCTTTTACCGAGTTGATGGTCCTCCAGGCGCAGTTGATGTTTGTCTCAGTGTGAGTCCCAGGGAACAGACCATAGTGTGCAGAGCCCCGCGTCACGGAGCTGCTCGAGATGAACCTCGACAAAAATCACTGCATTTCTCTCCAGACTTCCTTTGCATAGGCACATCCCAGGCGGAGGTGTGTGACAATCTCGTGCCCTCCATGGCCGCTTCGAGGGCAGCATGCGATGGCACGGAGCATGCTTTAAGAATCTCACAGGCAGAGCCATCCTCACCACCAGCCAAGCAATGTCCTGGTGCTCATTGGAAAGTTCTGCTCCTGGCCATGCCAAGTTGGCCATTAGTAGATACAGGCAGTGGAGGGCTATGTTTGTGTCTGGGTGTCCTTGAAGAGAGAGCACATGGTGTCCATCAGTACTCTCAATGCTTTTGAAAAATGTTGGGCACCACAGAGGGTCAGGATGCCTTGTTTCCCCTTCCAACTCCATTTTGATTTCATCTCCTCTCACTCTTCCTCACCTTTACTGGTCTGCATTGCCCTTGCCAACCATTGCACGTAATTGGAACACACCTATGATTTAGTGGTGGTGGATAATTGGTTAAAAAGTACCACAGGCAGTTCGGTGGTGGGAAAATAAAGCAGCTGTTGAGTTGCGTGTGATAACACTTCCAGATTTAAAAATATAAAGAGGAAAGGAAGGGCTCTTGTGTTGCAATGACAGTGTCCCAGCCTCTGGACCAGGAAGCCTGGGGTCAAGTCCCACTTGCAACGGAGATGTGTAATAACATCTCTGAACAGGCTGATTATTTCAAACAATACAAAACTCCCCGCAAGCATTGTTTCAAAATGTATCATGAAGTATGCAAATTAACCCTTTGGGGTAATGGAAGTCTTTTAGACTTTGCATGTTTGTTAGTTGTCACAAATTATTTCAGTTTAGATTAATTATTGAATTACTTCTCCTGGTTCTGCCTGCAATTGGACAAATTTTTGGAGCTTTCGTTGGAGGTTTCCTATACTTGATTCTTTCGCATGTTCAAATATTTTTCAGTTTATTACAGTGCAGATTCCATTCACAATTGGGACTTCCAACTGTTTGCAACCACAATTGGCACGTTTAAGGCTGCATTTAAGTAGACATCACAATGTTGACTCTCCTGCAGCAAACCAAATTGTGGGCAACAGATTCTCTGTACAATCGTCTTGTAAAACAATGGGTACTACAAATTCAAAGTGCTTCCTGCAGGCAATGAATGTCCATGGGTCAGCAACATATGACAATTCACACACTTTTTCTCAATAGTTGACCAATTTAACTCTCTATCGCACTTATAAACACTTTGCGATTTGAAAGCCTTTCAGTCACATCCAAATGAAATAACAATATATTTCAGGAACATATTAATTTATTCGAATATTGATTTTGATTTGATTTGATTTATTGTCACATATACCTAAGTACAGTGAAAAGCTTTGTTTTCGAGCAGTACAGGCAGATCATAGTAAGCAAGGTCATACAGATCATAGGGTATTTGGACAGAGTGAGGCATAGAGGTTACACTGCACAAGAGGTGTGTGAAGCAAGATCTATACATACTTCACTTAACTTAGTGTGATATCATAACTACTGACCACGTTGTGTAATCACATGCAAATCTATAACATCCCACTAAGAAGGACAGCAGGCCAAGTATTACTGACCTGAGAAGTCCGCTAAACATGATTCGCCATCGCCGATGTGGCTCAAGACACTCCATCTTCAGACCACTTCCACTCCATGAGTTCTTACTGTCCACAGAACAGATGGTATCAGGATGGATTGGATGCTGAAAGGAGCAGTTTTGTCAGAATATTGACAAGAATACTTCAGCCGACTGTCTTTCCTTTAAATGCTATTTGACTCAACACATATTAATTTCTCTCTTGATAATGATGTGAACAAATATATTTTAATACATTTCAGTGATCTTCATTACATACTTCCAATCAAAGTTAGCCTGACATCTTTCTGAAAATTTTGTAGGATTCTTGCTTTTTCTCTCCATTGATTATTTATTCACAAAATCTGCACAGGAAGAGAAGGCGTGCCTCCCTGCACCGCTCCCACCCACCTCTCTGTCTCTGAACATATTTAGGTAGATTAGCCTTCTTAGAAAATTGTGTTTTGTGTCGCCTCATGTTTGGTGATCAAACATGCCAAAATATTTTGGATCTGAAGGTCTCAAGCTTCGAAGGTAGTGTATGATGTGCGGAAGGGAGTTGAATGTACAGCAAACAGTGAGAAAAGAAGGGCAGAAAAATAAAATTAGTACATAAAGCTGAGAATTCCCAACCACCCATAAATGATCCTGATTGATGTTCCCATGATGGGACAGATTATTAACATTTCAACCAACCTTTTACTTACTTCTTCCTTCCCATCACTTTATATCAACCCTAACAAATTCAAATTGCAAAGCTTTAAGATTGCAAACACCCCAGATCAAATTACATTCTGAAGTGCTTGGTGTACATTACATTTCTTTCAAATGATGAATAGTAAGGCCATAGTTTAAAGTGAGAGATGCAAAGGAGAGCAAGTCTGGGCAACACTCAACGCTCTTGTGAGTTCTGCAGTCTGTAATTCAACGTTTCTCAATCATGTGCACATTTTTTGAGGGGGGGTGGTTTTGATCTGAAATTAATGAATGCATCAACATTGTGGAAGTTCTAAACCTAAACTTAATGCAAATAAATCATAGTGCATTCAAAGCTTTGGCACAAATCTTATCCAGTAGAAAAAATTGTAAATACTATCTGCTTAACAATTTTTTTCTCAGATTATAGCCAGTTGAAAGTTTGGATGATCGTCCTCTCACATCTTGCTTTCAGTTGCCGGAGAATTAATGACTTATCTGACATCTACTAGTGATCTGATATTGGGATGACATTGCAATGACCAGGATGGCATCACATGACCAGGAAACATGATGAGTCCAGACAGCAGCGTAACAGACTAAAGGGCAGAAACATTAATTGCTTTGACCTTTGGCATTGGGACCACAAAAACTGTGACAACACACAACTCCTCAGAAGCCAACTTCACTGACCAAGGATGAACTGGAGGAACCAAAGAGAGTTTGGATGAGACAGTCACAACTGTGGCATTGATGTAGGCCTGTAGCGAAGAGGCCAGACCCCATTACAGAGACCCAGGAACGCATTACAGAGTCTCCGGTTGATGTCAAGCAGCGAACAGAGGAGCAGAGGAAGAGGAACAAGAAGAAAAGAGAAGGTGAACTCTATTGCAATGAAATCTCGCATTATGTTCAAATGTTCCGAGATGGTGCCAGAGCATGGCAATGCTTTGCGTAATACACGCGATAAAACTTTTTAGACTGTATTTTTTGTGTACCTGCGATAATAAATCTAAATCTATCCGTTTGGTTGGAAAAAAAATTAAATTCAAACTGTGAGATAGCAAGGACTGCAGATGCTGGAGTCAGAGTCAATACAGTGTGAAGCTGGAGGAACACAGCAGGTCAGACTGCATCAGAGGAGCTAGAAAGTCAACATTTACGCCCTTCATCAGGACTCTTGTGTTTTTGCAAACTGAAAAGATCACCATGACAAATAACATTTCTTTTCAATTTTTCCAAGAAAATTTAATTCAGCATTAGAGTCCAGCATAAGATAGAATGAAGTTAGTTTAATAAAGCTATTTTGTTTATGCCCTTTCATTATCTTCAGGAGACTGCCACATCATTTTTAGATATGACTAACCATCTATACTGCAAACTTAGATAGTGAGATTTTTCCAAAAGAGAAATGAGCAGTTTGACCCTGAATTTGACCCCGTCCAAATGTTCTCACAAAGCAATCAATAGCAAAAGCTTAGGCTGACATTGTCCTTGCCCCTAACTCAAAAGTATGTAAGTTTTTACAACACTTACTCTGGCAGAAATCAGTTAACTCAATACAAATTGAACCAGACTGTAGGACTGTCTCGTGTGCAACTTCACTATAGGCTGACTAGCAAGTGAGTCCATAGGGTATGTTCTCCAGCCCTTAACTTCATGCGATAAAATAAAAGAAAAATAAGCACAGTTTTAATGATTCTTGTGGCGATAACAACATTCTAGAAAAATAAACAAATTGTATTTTGCAAAAAGCTGTGAATGGGGACTTACCTCAAAACATCCAACTCCATCAACTCGAAGCAACACCCACATTTCACACAAGTCATTGGGTTTCCGGCAAATACGAACAACAAAGTAGGTTTTATCCACTTCTGTGAATCCCATAAAATAAACTGAGTCGATAGCCTGTAAAAAGTGCAGAAACAGATCGGGTCTAATCAATGGTTGTTAATACAGTAAAATAAGCATTGCTTCAAAATGCAGTGAAAGACATGTAGAGTGAAGCTGTCTCATGTATCCTCTAATGTGTGACAGCTTGGAATAATGTTGAAGATTTCAATATTTTCAAATATGCAATAATGCATAAAGCATTGTATGGATAGCACTTTACAGGGTGTTCTGTGGAGTGCTGCCACAGAACACCCTGTAAAGTGCTATCCATACAATGCTTTACATAGGCTGATTTGTTCTGAGTGAAATGGTTCTATGAAACCATGTGACTATCCATGTTCTGAATTCTTAATTTTATACTGCAGACTGTTTGGAGATTTACACACACACACACACAAACAAACATACAAAGACAGTAAGAAACAACATGTTGTGAGGTGGGCCTGTAGCCTGACTGATATTACAATACTGTTCATATATTTATAAATGTAAATTTAAATATTATGTTTGCAAGATTAAAGGAAGGATAAAGGACAGGGTTCCTCAACCAATATTTGTTTAGAGAAAATTAGCAGTTCACAATTGCTATTGTTATTCACAGCCATAAATATGGTCTATGGTTTCAGCATCAGATTGTGACGATTGTGATCCTATATTAGATCTGTACTAGTACAATTAAGAAGTTTACCAGTTTCTGAAATAATGTCACGCTAGGTACAAACAAGTCTAAATCATGAAAATTGTTATATGATACATAGGACATTTTCTGAGACATTTTTGGATTTGTTCTTTAAAGCAAGACTGATTAGCAGGCCAAATACCTGGTTCAAAAATGTTTTCCTACTTTTCAGTGGGTCCAACGCAATAAAATGAATAATATGAAATGTGAGCATGGAGGCAGACGATACTGTGACTGTAGGCTGGGCTGGGCTGGAAGTTTTACCTCAGATAACAGACCAGAAGAATAGGCAGATTTTTCAATGAGAAACAGATACACCTTTCACATTTGATACCACAAAGTAAGTACCTGCTTTCTTCATCTGATGAAGGGGCTACACTCTGAAAGCTTCTGATTTCAAACAAACCTGTTGGACTATAACTTGGTGTCATGTAACTTCTGCCTTTGCTTTCTTAAAAATATTAAACTGGATTTTGTGGTTATGGCAAAGCTGTGGCACTCACAGTTGAGCTTGAAAAAGGCTGCCCAAAAAATTATTTTGATATCTTCAGTGATAGCATTCTCATTCGAAAGGCCAGTTTAAATTGAGCATCAGTTCAATGGAAACTCAGGCATACAACACTAGTGATAACAGGAAGCACAATAAGCAGCCAATCACATTAAAGTATTCTCACAAACAAGAAAGCAGGAAGTACAAACCTTTGGTCTTCTTGCAGTCAAAGGCATAACACAAGAACATCAATTTAAAATAGATACCAAGAAATTCATTAAAGAATTCAGAAGAAACATATTGATCCAAAGTAAAATGAGATTATGTAACAAGATACCACACAGTTTGGTTAAAGCGAATAATATTGATACACTTAACGGGGAGCTAGAAAAACATATGATAGAGAAGGAAATAGATGGTTACAATAGTAGATTCAGATAAGAAAGTATAGGAGGAGATGCAACAGAAAGGGCTATTTTGCATAAAATGACCTCTTTCTGTGTCATATTAAAATAAAATTTCCTTCACTTGTGGTCTAAAATTTCATGGAAAAATAAATAATTAAGATCAAAGCCAAAATATTATAAACAAACCTAAAAAAAACTTTATTAATCATAACAAAAACAAATTGACATTTCACAAATAAAAATTTAGTTTCTCAGGGCCAGCGAAGGTGTTTGCTAGAGATTAAAAATTTAGCATACCGTTAAAACAAAATTCTATCTCATTCAACAGGGTGTTTCAAATGTTTTTATAGTGAGGCTATGATGGCTGCGGCAGCAGGGTAGGATGTGTTCTCCTGTGCCCATGTGCTCCCAAGCACCTGGCCAGCGGCATTCTTCTTTGTTCTTTATTTTTGTTTCTTTGTTTTCTTTTGTATCAAAGTTCACCATTTCTTCTTTTCTGCGGCTACGGTGGAGGAAAGCAGTAGCGAGGACAGCATGTGAATCTGGATGTCCACTCCTCGTGGTCATACTGGTCGCAGCTTGAGCAAAGGTTTCATCATCGGTGACGCGGTTGGTTTAGGTCTATTCCTCCTGGTGGCGGTTTTAGCAACTGCTTCACCGTCAGTGACTTGGTGGGTCTGGTCCATTCCTCCTGGCAGTGGTGTGGCAGTCTCAGCGGCGGCTACAGTGGTGGCCACATGGTGGTTCCAGTTCGTTCCTTGTGGCTATGGCAGTGATGTGGTGGCTTCAGCGGCAACGAAAGCAGTGACAGCTTGTGTGACGCCTTCAACGTCGGTAACTTGTTGGATCTGGTCTGTTCCTCCCGGCTGTGCGGGCGATGCAGCAGCTTCAGCTGTGGTAGCATTGTGGGTCCCATCTGGAAATCCTTGCTTTGGCAGTCTGAGGGGCAAGCTTTGGCAAAGGCGTCCCATAGCCACTCCATAAACCCAGATTGCCATGGAGGGAACAAAAAATGAACTTTGTCTTAACTTTGTCTCAATTATCATTTTTGTAATTAAAATGGCACCAGATTATGGCGACTTATACACTTTTCGCTATATTTTCATAAATATAAGTGACAATACATTTCAATTCTATGAGGATAAAAGTGAACATCTGTGCCATTTCACTGATGCACTCTGGGAAGACTTTAACAGCAGCCTTTGGTTCAGTATAGACTCACTATCAGCAACATCTGGATTTTCTCACCTCCTCTTCATCCCCAGCTGAAAGGTCAGCGGTAGCCCACTCAGAGGAAGAATGGCCATCTGACTATAACGCTCATGGGACTCCCCTCACAATGGCTCGGGACAGCAAGCTCCGTCCGGCAGCTCTCTGAGGCAATCAAATCGGCAGTAAAGCTATGCTATCAGCTGCATCACATAGAAGCAGTGGCCATTGCTCAGACAACAGGCAAGCCCCAAGGCCAATGGTAAGTAGGCTGACTACTTGCTGACTGCATTTTATGTCCATGCATGAGGCATGAGGCAACAATTTAATGCAACAATCAATTTACTCCACAAAGGGATCACAACAGGGCACGATGAATAGATGAGAAGTGTCGGGTATTTCAAAAATAGTTAATCAAACAAAGAAAGTTCACAGGGTGACACAGAACTAATGAAACAAAAACTGAAATCTGGAACTTTTTAATACTTTGTATTTCCAAAATAGATTTTAATTACATTCAATAACCTTAACTCCACAAATTCATGTTTCGTAATTGAATTCTTTTTTTGGAATTGTGGAAAGGAAGTGCATCTGGTAGAATTCCATGTTTTAATGAAAGTAATCAACACTTGTACAGTGGAAAAACTACAAAGAAGTTTCAAAGTTAAAAAGAAGTGAAGGCAACCAGAAAGGAGCCTCGCCTGTTAACACTGCTTATCAGAAAATTGGCAGACATGTACATTCTGCAATGCAAAACCCATTATGGCATTTCTCGAATGAAATTAAGGACGATAATTAGAGTGGAACAGTTTTTGTGTTTTTAGCATTTTGGAAAGATAATTTAGGATGGAAGTTCCTTCAAATACTTTGAATCTTCATGGAAATTAGAAATTCTGTAACAAAAGGACCCAATGTCTTTTTACATAAGACTTAACAATTCACAAGTCTGTAGAAAGCCTCTGTATTACCTAAATGGGTGATATATTAAAAACAAAAGCAGAAATTGCAGGAGAAACCCAGCAGATATGGCAGCATCTGTGCAGAGAAAGCAGAATTAACATTTTGAGTCCAGTGAAAAATCACCAAACACGAAACACTAACTGCTTTCTCCCCACCTTTGTGGCCTAAGTTTCACAAGCAATTTCTGTTTTTGTTTTAGATCGCCAGCATCTGTTGTTCTTTGTTTTCTTTAATGCTAAAAACCATGTTAAATCATTCCAGAAGTAGTACCCATTAAAAGGCCATTAAAAGGCCATCTGTTTTCAGTTCAAAAGTCATTTTCAATGGAATTCTAACCTGCTTGGAAAGCTATTTGGTTTTAAATTGAAAGAGTATCATCTATGTTGCTTGCCGTTCTGGGGAAAAGAGGGACTACAGGACCCAAGTACTTCTCTCGCAAAAGACAACTGACAGTTCAAGCCTTTCCTCTTGCGAATATCAGGACAACTGCAAGAATGCCACATTTCAAACAATCACAACAATTCATGCTACCAGAGAAAAGGATGACCATTGGTAAGCAAGCCAACTCTGACTGGTCAGGCATTGCCACAGTGAAAGCAGCAGCCGACTGAAGGCTCCCCAGACTCTGAGCAATTCATAAAAGGTGCAAAGCCTGCTCATGTTTCTTCATTTTGCAGAGAATCGCTCCTTGTGAATGTCTGTCAATTCCAACAAGACTAAATGAGACATGGCGTGAGCTTAGCTGATTATCAGTATACAATGTGAGGATATTGCCACTTCAATAACGTTATTTTGTCCTGTTTTTTGAAGAGAGTTTGTAAAGGCAAACATATCGAAGTGGCTACAGGAGACAGCATAAGTCAACAATCAAAGGGGGCTTTAGGCTTTTTTTAAAACAGTCATAACAATGGAAGAGCGAGGGTGTGGCCAGTTCCCATAGATCAAGTTTCTAGATTTCTTTTACCTATTGCAGTAAGAAGCTGTTTGAATCCCAGAAGAGTTGGAGCTTCAGTAAAATGTTTCCTAGCTACTATATTCTCCAAAATCTCTATTGATGTTGTTTCTTCCTGGATTGGAAAATTGCCTGTAAGCATCTGTGTTTGAATTTACCTTTTTGCCAAGGGGGGTGGTGTTTATGGAATGTCACTATATTGAAACAGTTAATTAGTAAGAGGTACTGTATCAATTATACGGTCAACTTTTCTAATTGTCAAGTTATTCCAATTTCCTTTTTTTTGTTTGTATTTGAACAACAGTGTTTAAATAAATTGTGTTTTTCTTAACATCAAGTGGTTTGACCAGTTGCATCACATCTGTAACATGCACTTCACATCCACCTTTTAAATAAGAAGAAGTTAGGGTCTGGGCTATCTTCTTAAGATATTTTGAGGGAGTCTGGTCAGGTCCATAACAATAAGGTAGTGATTATGTTATAAACTATTAGAAGATTCAATGGTGAGTTCTTCACCTTACAATAAGATAAACAAGAATGACTAAATTTGGGGAAGATATTGGTGCTTTTAGAATTCAATAGTAAAGATTACCCTTTCCACAGAAGCAATATACATTCTAATATTGACTGTAAAGCAATTACATGCATGTGAAAAGAAAACAGATTATTTAGAAGTAACTGAATGGATTATAAATATCATGAGCATATTCATCATCTAGGGTGTTTAGTGAGATTCCATTGGATGTCCAGGAGACTGCTATAGCTGAACCAAACCCAGAAGGTTTGCAGCAACTAGGACATGACACCACAGATGACTGAGCTTTGGACAAATGTTATTCTGGCTACTTAACCAGTCCAATTCAGTTGTGACTCTACATGGTATTGATGTTTGATATATTAGCTAGGATGTTTAGCTCAGTGTCTGTTGCTTTGTCCTACTATCTGATTATCAGAAGATCTGAAAGGCAGCTAAAGTAAAAGTGATTAAATATCTTGGTTTGACACTGGTACAGAGTCCAGGTCTTAAATGCATTAAGCAGAGTGGGTGGGCCCATTCGTCTTGAACTTTCAGTTTGGTATGTAGACTTGCTCCTTTTAATTGCCAAACTGACGTTCTAAGTCTACCAAAGGCTACGCTTATTTTGGTAATTCTTGCATGTGTCCACTTGTCAACAAAGACAGCTTAGAGAATGTGCTGAGATGAGTGAACATACTACGTTTGACAGGTTCTGGTCATGGACTAAAATCTTGGGCTAAAAATAGGACTTTCATGGAGAAGACGGGTACATGACATCAGTTTTCCTTGTGTTGATTGTAAGGCTGATGCTGTTGCTTGTATTGGAGAACAGGTCTGTGCTACATTTGAACCCAGTTCTGAATCAAGGGCTAGTGCACAGTCATCAGAAACAGGAGATAGCAAAGGATGTTGCCTGGAGTCGACTCTGATTGAGCAACTTCTCACTCACGCGATATTTGATTTTGCTCCCACAACCACTATCACGCAAGACATCAGAGCCTACGATAGAGAAAAAGAACACACCAAAGGGGTTTGGTAATAGCGTGCAGTTGTGTTTAACTCCATTAGTGGCTGGGAGGGGGGTCCAAAAACTCACCCATTGTGGAGAGACACAGTCATATCATCCTGAAATTGTTGAACTATTGTGGTGAAATTATCTGGGCAGACAGATTTCTCCATGACTTTTCAAATGCCCCATAGCTGATTGTGTCAGAGGCCTTAGTCAGGTGAATAAACATGATGCAGATGGTCCATGTTCTGTTCTTGGCATTTCTCCTGGAGCCATCAAACTACAATTACATATATCAATGGTTCCTCAACCTTTTCTGAAGACATATTGAGTCTGGCAGTAGAACTGGTTGAGATGTTGCACTAAGTAGTTTGCAAGCATTCTGCTGAAGATTTTGCCGGTGAGAGAGAGGAATGAGGTTACTGTATGATTGTTGCAAAAACAGGTATGCTCCTTCTCACTTGCACTGTTGACCAGTGGATGCATATTCTTTTGGAATGGTTCCTTGCTCCCACACGCACTGAAGAGTTCACTGAATGCATTGACCTTTTAAGCTTCAGTTGGATGAATGTTGTATATTGCCACTGGCAGAATACATACAATTCAGTGCAGGAAAAATAATTAGCTGAGGTTGTTGCTTCATGCATTCATCATTATCCAGATGATAGCAACTATAAACTTGTTGATTAGTATTTGTTGGGTTTGAAAGACAGAGATTCATTTAAAACCCTAATGTAAACAATTAAAAATGGAAAGGTTGCTCTACTGTGAGATCAGAAAGTGACTCTTCACTCCTATGGAAGGGACTGTGGGTTGCCCATTCACACAGGGAGTTAGGATTGGTTTAATCGCATGACATTAAGGTTTTTGTGTTGTTTTCTCTTTACTCATTGTAGACTTGCACTGCAACTAGAAAGAATAAAATGTTAAGAACTGTTCATTTCCGGAACGATTTCAGATTTTTGGCACCAGTTTGCAATTTAGCTGCCGGTTGTTTAACTACTGCTGAATGAGTAGAATGTGTGATTGCTGCCATGTCATCATAATGGACCTGAAGACAGCAACAGAAAATCAGGCAGTAGGACCAAGCTGATTATTTATGCATCTGGATGGTAAACGAGTCAATATCTGAATGTTTTATTATTTTTACCTGTTTTCTGGCACATTTTTTCACAATAATTGCCATCACAACATAATAAATCACCAAATAGTCTGGAAGATTACAGGTCAATAAAGATCTTGAGATTATC